CAATATTTTAATAACAATATGAAGCTATCAGTTTTCAAAATAGATCTACCTAGAATCAATAACAAGTTATCAACACTTTTACTATCGATCCTTTACCGATGGGTCGAATACTCTTCTTATTACATCGCTAATTTTCATGTCATTTTATATGTTATATTGGTTTATCTACTAAAAAAATATATAAAAATGGGTTAAAATTTATCATATACATACGACGTACATTATTTTATGTTAAATATAATTTAACTTAGAAACAGGAAGGAAATATGTTATAAAGATTATTTTTTTTTTGTGAATTGATAAGTTAATAGAGATTATTCTTGTTAGAGAATTTTTATATAAAAAATACATATATTAATATTGTTAATAAAGTTGAAATCACTATTCTTTTAAAGATTTCCGATTTCAAAATACTCTTTTTTTGATCTGTAATTTATTAAAAAGAATTGTGTATTGCTATGCTGCGATAAATCTTACATCCTGGTTTATTTATTTATGCATTATTAAACTTATTATAAAATAATAAAAAAATTTTAAACCGTTTCAGATAAATTCAAATTCAATAATAATGAAGAAGCTAAAAATTTATTGATTTAAAAAAAAAACTTGTAAATTTGTATAAAAAGAAAAACATAAGCAAAAATTAAGTTTATTGACATGATAATCTTGGAGATAAGAAAAGGACTGGTTATCCTTTACAAGAGAGCCATCGTTTTCCCACGATGTTCTCTCTTAATCATATAGAGCACTTTAAAATTCGATAGAAGGATTAACATATCTTAATTACAATTTTACGGACAAAGAATTAAATAACCAAGTGTAATAATAAACGAACAAATAATTTCAAAATATCAATTTTTTTGTAATTTTTTAAAATAATTACAAATTATTGCAATAAATTTGTATGAAAATAATAGTTAAAAAATAGTGTGACACATTACGTGTCAACGGTTTACAATCTGAAGAATATGCCTTCAGTTTTAAATGTCGAAAAGTTATCCCACAATCCTTATTTTCGAATTAAGCTCCGGGTTTCCCAGGAACATGATTTTGAAGAATGACACTTTGATTACCGAGAATTGAAAGCTAATTGTCCCGTTAGCGTGACATCTGACACGGAACAGAGGAGGAGCGTGTCATAATTTCGACAGGGTGATTTTGCTGTCAGTATCGGGACTCTCTCGGGTAACGGAGTTAAAGCACAAACAAAACAATGCATTTTTCCCCGGGTAACAGGAGGAGGAGAAATCCTCCTCGGCCCTTTTCGACTGCGCGACTTCGACGAGTCGAAACTAACATAATCCAGACGCGCTTCTAGAGGCGCCCGGAACCCTTGACGCACCCGTGGCTGGAATTCGAAAAATCGCCCCCTCGAAACTCGAACTTGATGCAGCGCATTTAGACATATACATACATATCTTGCTGTCATAATTTATATATACATATATGTATATATTTCTATATATTTATAATACTTGATCCCCGTATTTTAAATGCAATTGTTTCTAAAATCGAAAGATTGATTAAATCTGTAGAAATCACTTTAAAAATAAAATATTGTTATATTAAATTTGTTTAGCTATTTCGTTTTTATGTTTCGTTAAATGGTACAGAATATAGAAAATTAAACTGAATGTTTAAGTGATTATATTTTATATTTAAAAAAAGACCATTTTAGAATTCTACTACATTATTTTTTATTTTATTTTGCATCGCTGATTTTTAATATTTTTATATTTAAACAAATTGTAGTCGTATCGATATTTTTGAAGTATTTCACATAGCGATTCTTTAAAATAGCCACCATAGTGAAAATTATGTGACGTAAGTAAAAAATGAAAAGAATAATCAAGTGTCACGCGAAGAACGTCAATATAAAGAACATCATAAAACGGTTATTCCCATAAAGTTTTCTTGTTAACTGACGCGATCTTATTAATGCGCCCTGTTAGTCACGCGTGTAATTATATATACACGCACAAGAGCGCGGCGCGTGCGTGGACATACGTTGAGCTTCATGCGTGGTAGGCGCCAAAAGATAGCAAGGCAGGCGCCTTCTTAACTGTGGGAAAGAAGCGCCGGCGTCTGGAAAGTCCTGCGGAGGCGCCGCGCCGTGTGAGCGTCCTCACGAATCTATTAACTAACTTTCGCTTGTTTTTCGTTCGGCTACAGATAACGATAACGTTGTTCCTTGGTGAAACGAACAACGAGTGTTCTCGGGAATATATTTTTCGTAATGCCAAATCATAACTTTGGCGTTGTAAAAACCCAGTGTATCAAATACGATTATTTATACATATGACATTTTGAAAATTTATTGACTATCATTGTAAGATAAAATTTAATTACCACGGAATTCTGGGTCTTAATTGCGATAGCTTGATCAAGAGAATGTTACGAGATATTTACATTATTTAAATTTACGTTATTCTATGATACATTGGAATTGACAACCGAATAATCAGGTATCCAAAATAAGCAGAATCGTTGCACTTTGATTACTCGCACGCTAAACTGAGGTCGTGAAAAGAGATCTCGGCATAATGCGGTGTCCAGTTGCAAGACGGACCCGTCCGTGTTGCCGCATAAATGGGCCCTTTGTGCTGTCGTCTCGCATCTAAATAGCCGCATGCGGCCTCGGATGCCCTATCCGTGTAGTATAGTTTATAGAAAAATCTCGCACGGTGGCGTGTATTGGCCAAGCACGTGGGGGGTCTCATGCCGCCCATGGTGAACCGTCTGCATTTTCGGAATCTGCTCTTTTTCTTACCACTATCGATGACTGCTACACATTACTAGACAATGCCAGATGAACGTTACTGTAATAGACCGGAAGAAAATCTTACAGGTGGAACCTGAGAAAAGCTAATGTGGGTTCCGGCCCATTACGCAAAGGAAAAGTGCCACAGTCGGTGTCAACAATATAATTATCGTAAGCATTTTCGGAATCTGCTCTTTTTCTTACCACTATCGATGACTGTTACACATTACTAGACAATGCCAGATGAACATTACTGTAATGGGCCGGAAGATAATCTTACAGGTGGAACCTGGAGAAAAACTAATATGGTTGTTAATATAAACAACAACATAATTAGGATATCGCTTTATCAGATATTTGAATAATGAGATTAATTTCTTTGATTTTGAAATTTATATTATTGTAAATTTTTAATATGTTTTATGTGCGTTTTTATTTAAGAAAGATCCGTGAATTAAATGTTAACCTGTGCATTCAACTTCTAAATGCTAAAGATACAAGCATTATATTGAACGAATGACAAATATACCTCTATTAATATTGTCACCTGTAAAAGAAAACGCTTTAAGACACAAAAACAGCAAAAATCTGAAAGACGCACTGTTTAACGTTGTCTGCATATTCGAGCTTGCAGACTTGTAAGACTGCAGATGAGGATGCTCTCTATTGAAGAGGTCAGACTATATGCATTTCCGCGCTCGAGCGCATCGAGACTTTTGTCGTTTTCCCGAGTGAGTGGGCCAGACAATTGCATGTATCTGGATGTCTAGACGGTGGGTCGTTTCACGTTTTCTATTTCAAACAGAAATCACATTAATTTGAGTCTTTTCCGTTGCTTAAGTAGTGTCGACAATTGCCGACGGAGAGCATTCACAGAGAATAAATTTCTCTATTTTTTTAAAACATTTACCTTGTTTTTAGTTATTTACTGTTATTTGGGATATTATTCAATAAATATTTCTTATTTGATCATTAATTATAAAGTCTTCTTTTACCTCAATTTAGTTCAATTAGAAAAAATGCTAATATAGAGCAAATGCTATATTAATTAAGATCCGCGGCAATTAAGATCGCAAATCTATATTTTTTTTAATTTTACCAAAAGCAGCAAATTTAGAAAAATTAAAGAAAGAGATATTGTTTTTATGAGTTATTTATTTTATAAAATTTATTTGATTTTTCCGTTTGTGCAATGAAATATGACACATTTTACATTTATTCTATTGAATTCTATTTTAATCTTTGTTATAATTTGCAATGAGCTTTATGGCTATCCGAGGGCATGCACGATGGTTGAGAAAAAATACCAATTAATTACACTGCGCGCTGCTTCCAGGAAAAACGATGATGATTAATCGAGGGAGAACGAGAGAGAACGTATTGCGCAAATGATCGTTTAATCGTTGCTTTTAGAAACACGACTCGCAGCATGTTTCGATTGGTCGGATTCGTCTCGTATAGGCGGGTCTTTCGTACTCTCCTCCGCCTTGCGTTACCAACGACTATGGCTGTCGCGACGCAAAAAGATATTTTGCTGTCTTCTCAATTATTCAGACACTTCCGAGGTCAATAATTATTATACGTTGCAGTCGTTGCCCTCATTTCGATTGTGCTTTTTATACGATTTCTGTCAAGAAGAATTGAAGGCCCAACGTTTTTTAATCAGCCAATTAAAGTTGATTCAACTGCTTGAATAATAATCAATTTTGATTTCAAATGTTTCGTGATTTAAAAAAAATATAAATTTATATAAAATTTAAATCTGTATTTATATTCCGCATTACACAATTGTGAAAAATTATAAAAAGCTGTTCAAAAATTTATTTATTTAAAATTTTAGTAATAATCCTAAATCACTGTTGAATTAAAAGTCTGTGGTATCTAAAACATTTATAATAATTCTTATTATTCGTCTTATAAGATTTATTCTAATGTACATATGTATATTTAAAAATTACTTGAAGAATTAGTATCTTCTAATGTTAATCCAGAAATATTATTACAACATTTACGTAATTTAAAATAATGATATATTTTCCAATGAATTATTCCGTAAAAATTTCAACACAGAGTTACCGTTAAAATTGTACGTAACTGTGGTAGTGAAAATCTTCAGTCGTACACCAACGCATCCTCACACTCACATCAGTGTATTATAGCCATGACGTTCCTGTGCGACGGGACCAACACTTGACTCCCTTGCAAGACCAAGTCACATTATACGTCTGCCCTCCGACCCGACCACTCAACCGTGACCATCCCCCGAAACAGGGATAGTGCATCGATAAACGACTATTCGCTGATCTCGCTAATTTTACAGATACTGTATGTACCGTTGGACGCAGTGACGTGTTTATCTTGTCGTGTGCTGATATCAAATTTTGATGGTTGATTAAATCACGAACGAATTTTTAAGACTTCCACGTACAAATTTGGAAGTCTCTTCGCGGCTTCGTAATTAAATTGACAGTTCACAACGTGAGCGCACTATCAAGATTTCTGTGCGTGAATTTGACTCTTGATAAATTTATGAATTTGCAATCAAGTTGGACAGTTAACGAAGCTATCAAGATTTCCACGAAGAGAGAGAGAGAGAGAGAGAGACTAATTTGAAATTTATTAAATTAAAATTTAAAGAAATAATCATCAGAATACGATTAAACAATTGAATCGCGATGGTGTAGCGAGTTTCCAAGCTCTGCAAAGTGAAACTTAAGTTGCTGACTTAAAAAGACGAGATTCGTTTAATGAGAAATACAATGCGTCGAGAATTTTTTCTGACAAAGTGACATTCGACTCATCACGAGTGACTCGATTAAAAATCGAAAAATGCTTTAGAATGTTGTCCTCTTCGGTGTCGACTCCGTTCAGCGTTCGTGATATTCTCAGTGAAGATCAGCAACTCGGCGTCATGGATTGTTACGCGCATCATCAAAATCAAGCTCAACAACAACATGTGCATCAAGAGTATTATTCATACAACGTTGTCCCAGAAAACAATTGGGAAATGGACAAATTTAAGGATCAACCGATGCCTAGCTATCAACATTACTCGGATCTCAACCACGTTCACCAATTGAGTCAGGTGGTACCGCCGTATCAAGAGACTTCTATTACTGAAGATGGTAAGTATCTCTTTACTTTATAAAAGTTTGGTTTAAAAATATGTCATTTTTTCATGATTTGTAATTATTCAATAATAATTATATAACATGAAACTATATATATTAAGATTTGTCTCTTATTCTTGTATTTTATGGTGATCTTTATTACACGAAAGTAATGAAAAATGATTTACAGATAAGATTTTCCATATCACGGTTTTTTTACAAATTGTTGCAGTAAATACATGCATTTTTTTTCTATCATTACATAGTGCTAATTTATAAGAAACAAATATTGTGTTAAAGGATGAATTATGAAAAAAATAAAATTAATTTTTAAGTTTTAGAAATTATATTATCAATTTAAGAATTGCTCCTGAAATATGCTTTGCTAGAATTACTTCTTAAATGTTTTATAGTTTCTTTATTTAGCTTTATTGATAAAAATTTAGTAATAAATTATCTGATAAAATAATATCTATGTAAATTATTTTTAGGTAATATTGTTACGTCCAGCAAAACAGAACTGCGCAAAAGCCAATCTGGTAAAAGAACGAAGCGGAAGCCACGAGTGTTGTTCTCGCAAGTAGGTTTGATCTTTTTTACGTTTAATAGATAACTTAAAATTGTTCAATTTTATTTGGATAGGAATTTAGTAAAATAATTTTATAAAAATGATTTTATTTACAGGCTTAATTCCAATTTAAAATTATTTTTTGTAAAAAATCATAGACATTACGCTTAAAATAAAATATTAAAAATAAATTGGCGCAAAGCGCTAAATTATAAATAACCCCATAATCCACTTCGCAGACACAAGTTTATGAACTGGAGCAGCGATTCAAGCAGCAGAGATATCTGAGCGCACCTGAGAGAGAAATGTTGGCCCAGACCCTGAAGTTAACCAGCACTCAAGTAAAGATTTGGTTCCAGAATCGGCGATATAAGAACAAACGCGCCCGGATCGAGGACGCCGAGAAGCTGCAGGCACAGAACATGAAGAATCAACCGTTGAAAAAGATCGCCGTGCCGATCCTCATCAAGGATGGCAAACCCAATGTACAAGAGTCCTACAACGCACCTTACTGGCCGAATATCCGATCGGATCTAAGCGCTCCGATACAAACGGACTTTAGGACAAACGATATTCGTCTCAGTCCGGATTTCAGGTCCAACTCAAACGAAGTGAGGATTGACTCCAATATTAGCCCGGAGTACAAATCGGAAATAAATTCAGAGATACCGGGAAGATCAAGCCTTAACGACATGCCGGACAGGCAGCACGTTCCAGAATACAGGAACAATTTCGTGACGGAAGCTTCGCCGAATGTGCACGATTGCAATCGATTAATCAAGACGGAATTTAAGACATGCGCGAACGTCAACGAAACCGTGTCATATCCAGACCTGAAAACTGTTCAGCCCGACAACAAACAGCTTATGACTGATAGGCGGATGTCTATGGATGTCTCTAATGGCGAGTATGGGTTTTCAAATTACATTGCTCCCACCAATTACCAAATGCAGTATGTGAATTATATGGAGCAGGTACCTATGGATCAAAATCTGCAGCGGTTGTGGTAGGTGTACTCGAAAGAGAATTATCTGATGTGAAAATTTTAAATAATTAAAATCGCATTACAGTTTATGTCTTCGGATCTACAGTGATTCTGTTGATACAAACAATTTAGATTTAGCAACTAATTAAGTCATCACTTGAATTCTTTCAAATAGCCAATTAATTATGTGCTCCTAGAAAGAATTTTACATTTATCAATAAATATTTACAATTTTATTATCAATCTAATTATCAATGTCAATTATTGATTAATTTAAAATCGATATGATGATGATTGATAAAAAATAATTTAACACCCGAGAATGGATTTCCCGAGATGAATTATATTTTTATCTTTTTATATTATGTATACGATATTTTTTACGCACGTAACATAAATGGGTGAGATATTCATCAATCCTTTATATCATTCATCTAAGAAGTTAGAAAACATTAGGTTAATAATTCGACGTTAAATTAAATTGCTGATTCTTGGCAAAGGATAACTAACGTTGAAAAAAGAAATAATACACCAAAGAAATTAATCAAAGATGTATTCTTTAATTATTATACATATACATAACCGAGTAACGCTAACGTTAGAAATACACTAAAGAATAAGCTTACGATATTGGCAGCTGTTTTTTAGTTAGCTAAGGTTTTCCTTTTGAAATAATAACGCGGCGTGCAAGGGAGCGGAAATTGCTTCAAGTGGCCTTTGCGGAAACATCGAGCACTTTTCCGCGTATGTTATGTGCCTCGGAAAGTTTTTTCCTCTGACTTTCAAGTGCAGACGCTAGTTGTGCAATAAATTTCGTTCAGATGGTATTTTGTTGAATAGGAACAGAATTGTGTATAATGTTAAGTTACGAGAAATGTTCAGTTTTCTATTAAACATGTAACACAAATATGTGTGAAAGTATTGTATTTTTTCTGTACGACACTTATAGAAAATTATTTTATGACTCTTAAATAAAGTTTTACATTTGACATGGGGCTAATTTTAGAATAATTAATTTCTTTTTTATAATTATTTATAAGTAAGAAGATACCAGAAGAGCAAAGGTTTAAAATCATATATTTAGTAACAGATTAAACTGTTATCTTGTTTTAAAAAATGTAATCTTTATATTAAGCAAAATATATTTCGCAATCAAGTTTATCGATTGACATAAGTATACCATGAGGAAATAATGATTTTAAAGAATTCAACGTTTATTAAACTTCGGCATCGAATCATCAACTGCTACCTCGGCTTTGTTTGCAATCACATTATTTTCTACTGTTTTCTTTTATTCTCTACTGTTAATTATCATTACTCAATAAAATTGTTATTATTATAATTGTTATTATAAGAAATCAAACGCATGTTATTTACGTGACGTATTTGCTACTAATGCATTTACTTGAATACCTCGTATATTTACGATCGATGTCGATTTCCGCCGAATTAAATTTGATCCAGATGCCTCTTGTGAGTTCGCGGTTCGATACGGAAATATGGCGAAATGGTATTTATAAATAGGTAAGTTCTGACAGCTTGAGCGAAGCCATGGGCGTCTTTTGGGTTATCGCGCGAACACGACGGGTCATCTGGCAGTCAAGTGCTGCCCACATAGACGATTTACATCAGTGTAATCGCGTTCATGGTGCTACTGGTGCCATAAAGAGCCATGGGAACGAGCCGATAAGAATGTCACTGTTAATTTTATAAGACTCACGTGGCCGCATTGTATCTACCTAAACGAAATGCAACCTGCACCACAATCCCGTTCCAGACATCCACCTATTATATAGCCGCACTTGCGATAGGGGTTCCAATTTGGGGAGATAAATTAATCCGTACGATCGTCTCATCGATATATGTTGTCTACACGAAAAAGATAAAAAATTTATGTAGCATAAAAGAGATAAAGATTTCGATGAAACTTTCATCGGAAAACACGAAAGTAGAAGTTGGTTAATTTTCTTATTGAATCATTTAATTCTCGTGCCATGTATTCAGAATTAGATCGTTGTTAATTTTTGGAGGTTAAATAAACTAATCCTTTTGAGCATCAAATGTGTTTCTCGCATTTCTCAAACTTATAACGTCGATGCATCAATGCATCACTCCACATGCACCTTATATCTATGTCCTGTGATCAGCACGGTTCCATTACGATATCATGTATTCAGATAATCAATCACGAAACGTTCAACATAGAAATTTGATCCTATTTGCTTGTAAGCCAAAGGGGGACCGCGACGAACGTTTGCGCGAAGTCCCAAGAGAGAAAGCACGCGACGCTGTGCAAATAAATGAGCATATGCATAAAAGAGCCAATGTCTACAAATCAGATGACTTTAGTTATAAATGGGGGTTTTTTTTTTTACATACAGATCACATTAATCATCTCGACATTAAAAAATTAGAAAAGGGTTGCGAAACAGGAAAACCTACTTGTTGCATTTTGTATTAATAGAATTAATAAAGTTGACCATAAGATACGAAACATTAACATAAATATCTACTTTTGTATTAAAAATCAAATTGTGTTTACTTTTATTCTGAATATTGCTGATTTATTAATTAAAATAGATTAAAAATTAAAAAGAATGACATTATTATCTAGTAATCTGAAATATTACTTTTTTTGCCATCTTTAGGTATTTTCTAACTATTAAAAAATTATTGTTAAAGTTACTAGAAATATAAAATTATTTCTTTGAAAATGCTTACTTCCACACTCACAATCAGCCTTTATTTTAATAATTATTTATAAACGTATAGCGAAATTATTGAATTGAATGACGTCTTTTTCACTAAGGAATATATATATATAATGTGTAATTTTTACGAAATTTATCTAAAGTTATAATTGTGAGCAATTTATTTAAAAAAGAATTATGCGTTTATTGTCGTAGAGAATTCTGCTTTACCGTGCGTGAAACTATAACCGTTTGTCGCTTGCACTAGAACGCTGGAGAGATCAGGGGTTGTGAAATCGCCTCCCTCAGAAACTCACAAGCCTAAATATCTGATTTACCAACCTATGAAACAGTCATTCTCAGTCGACACTTTTTACTATTGGCATGTCCTGCACTCTATATTTTGTTACAGAAGACATTTCCAAAATGTTAAAATATATATTTCTATATATACGAATGTTATAAAAAATATATATCTCTACATACGTATTTAATAACATTAAAGTATATATACTAGGTACTAGGTATATATGATTCTTTTTAATATATAAGTCTTATTTCTTTTCAAGAAACATTATACATGTTGTACGTTTAAATCAATGAAATATTGGCGAGGGTTGTGTTCTCAATGATTGTTTATCATTGTTTTAAATTTTATTCATTATTTTAAATTTTTATAGTTTATATTTTCTTTATAAAATGTATTAACTGCTCTGCCATTTATATCCATGCAATTAAATTACACGTGACATTACACTTAATATATAACTTGTAAGATTGAATTAACATAAATAATGTTTCTTTTTGTTTTCAGAATACAAAGAAAGTCGCTGGTGAAGGTAGTGGCAGTAAGCTGTCCTCGTAGTTCGTAAGTACGAGAAACCTATGAAATATTTGAAAGAATTTCTTTGAGTCGTGGCAGCTGCATGAAACACCGCTGATTGGCCGCTCGTACGCCAATTTTCCTCGACGGCGCTTTGCCACGAAAAATCGCTAAATTGCTTCTTTGAAATGCCGGAAAAGCGGAGGAAACGGTTCCCTCCGTAGTTCGCTCGATAAGTTCTTCTTGGTAGACTTCAAGCGTCGTTACTCGCTTGATGATCCGCGCGATGTACTCGGGCTGATTTTCTCCCATCTCCGCAAATCCACAAAGTAGAGCAGGCATCGATGATCGAGAAAAAGAAATATTTTCGCACATGTGAGACTAAATAAAAACCCTTGCTGAACTAAAAAAGTTAATAAAATATAATTTTATTCTACTTCCGATTTAATAAGAAGGATACTCTTCTTATTAAATCGGAAGTAGGATAAAATTATATTTTATTTAATAAGAAGAGTACTCTTCTTATTAAATCGGAAGTAGGATAAAATTATATTTTATTAACTTTTTTAGTTCAGCATGCGTTCTTATTTAGTCTCACATATGCGAAAATATTTCTTTTTCTCGATCATCGATGCCTGCTCTACTTTGTGATGGATTTGCGGAGATGGGAGAAAATCAGCCCGAGTACATCGCGCGGATCGCATCAAACGAGTAACGACGCTTGAAGTCTACCAAGAAGAACTTATCGAGCGAACTAAGGAGGGAACCGTTTCCTCCACTTTTCCGATATTTCAAAGAAGCAATTTAGTGATTTTTGGGCGGGTTGGAGGGACAGGTGTTAAGTTGCTTTATTTTTCCGATCAGTTAAAACACTCGATCTTATATACATATAAAAGAAAATGTAATTTATCTAGAAATATAAAGTGATATGCAATATTTAATATTTAAAAATTTATGTTAGACTTATGTTAACTCGTAAATCATATTCGTCTCTAACGCGTTTCGAATGTTTTCTGCGAAATGGAGAGGTGTCCCCTTTAACGTCTTCAATAGTCCATGTGACACTCCGGCTCCTAGGTTTCCTTGGCAACCATCCCAATTGAAACGCGTGTCAGAAGTCGGAAGAATGGTATATAAGAGAGGTAGGAAAAAGTGACGACAGAGACGAAAGTAACGACTGAAATCTCAAACTTGGAACCGGCAATTGCGTTTACTTCGAGGGGGTGGCGAAATCAGATTTACATCGTACACTTGTTTTACTTAGTTAAGAGAGCCTGTTATATCTCTACAGCTTTTTTGTTTCAACGATTGCAAGTTAAAATGCGTAACTTAGTTCGCTTTTAATAATCTGTCTTAAAAATATATCCAACGAGATCCGTAAAATATTACAAGTCATGTTTTATGTAGAAAAAGGTCTGGATTATACTTTTAAATTTGGTTGTTCGATTTACATCCATTGTAAGAGATACCGCAGGCGCTTGAAAAAGTCAGAATTTTTTACCGTGCACGCAAATGGTTCGTGCAAAATTGATAATGGCCGGTATGTAGCCTCGAATGGCTGAATTGTCCTCTTTGAGTATGATTTTTTTTAATGAGATTCAAATTGATCTCGCGTTGATAATCTTCTTGCAGTGTAAGTCTTAATCTCGGTATACTTATCTACAAATTCATTGAAATGTAGAGAATATTTAGTTAGAAATATTGAAAAAGTATCTTTAGCTTTTCTTTGAAATTTTATCTTTTGAATATTGAAACGTGTTCTTGAACTAAAGAAATTTAAAAATAATTGAAATCCTTGCAAATTCTTAACAAAAACCAAGTGTTAGGAAATTTACTTTAAAAGAGAAATCGATGATATAATTATAAAAACACGATATATCTAATAGCTAATCCAACAATTCAATATTATAATATCCAACAATTATAGTATCAATAATTACAAAATATAGAAAACTGTAATAAAAATAAATATTTTTTTATTATGAAAGACAGAAGAATTTGTACGTAAGTATCTTTAATGCACAAAAAAATTAAAATAATTTAAACTTAAAAATGTTTAAAAATTAAAATATTTTATTATAACACTTTTTTATGATAGCAAACGAAAAATTTAAAAAATAAGTTTTAATAATTACTTTCAAATGTATTATATATAACTGCGTTATATATAATAGAGTATAAAGTAGTTTATTATTTAACAGATAGATTCTGCGTTAACTTTGCAAGTTTCTATTCCATACCATTTATTTAACGCGCGAGGCTTTCTCGTAACAAACGAAAGACGATCGTTTGGAAAACGGTGTAGCGAGGGGTTAAGGTGTAGAGCCATAGAGGGTGATCAAGGGAGAGGGTGGTCTTGCGCTATTAACAGCTAATGAAAATTAGCTTTCGTCGGTTGATTGAGCGTTAAATCGTTCCTTTCTTGTTTTACGGGACAAGTCCATTGGTGCACTCGAACGAATGTACTTCTGCTTCAAATTGTGAGCTTGTTACCTTCAATAGCAAATTCCTGAATTAAGGATTGAAAATGGTTTGTTGTATTCTGAACTAATATATTTTAGGTTTTAATATAGATTTCAAAATGGTTAAATACTCACCTCTAATGATTAAACATTGCCAGTCAATAATAACATTATTTTCCTAACAATATGATCTTAGTTTTTCAAAAATGAAAAAAGAGAATAAATTTGAGTAAAATTATTTTTTATATTGTATCTGTTTTATTAATAGACCTATTTAATTGGACGCGTTTTGCACTTGATTTATTTTATTTTTATAATTTTTTATTTAGCTATTTACAATTAGTCTCACAACCTAAGCGGGGATTTGTAGTATTGTTGAAAGAGTTTCTATTTATTTATCAAAAGATTGGAACAATATGTTGATTGCAATTAACGCGACAACTTCTACCCGTAATCTGTACTGATAGTTTAAACGTACGCGACGGAAAATTAGTGGGGCTGTATAGACTCCATAGTCGCTTCTGCAGTCCATTATGCTTCGTTTAGAACAGTTCTAAACATTGTAAAGCCATAATGCTCTTGCGCTAAACGAGGCCTTGTGTCGATGTACAGTTGCTGTTAGTGCCACGCAAAACTCATCGTAATAATTTGCGGCTTGCGTCATGAAAAATGTGCCGACCACTATAGTTTGTTGATACTCAGAAATGCCAAAAATACGAATTACGAACCAAATGGATGATAGACGATCTGAGAGCTTTCCTGTTGCTCGCCAAAATTAAAATTTCTTTTATTTATTTAACTATCCGTGTACAAAATTATTATTTTTTAATTATTTGTTACTTTATTTATCTTATTTTTTATAAAGTATTCAATTAGATATCTTTACAGATATCTATTGTATATATCTATCGTAGAGATATCTTGTTTTTTTACATATCCGGCATAATTGATGCTGGTAAATAATATAGCTAATTATAACTTGTTAAATATTCTATAATCACTGTGATTATTAATGTTGTGTACGCATGCAATTAGAACTTAAGAAATCTAAACAAATAAATTAAAAACTACTAATTCCTTGACACTCGGAAACTGTCTCGTAAGAATGTACACGGCGGGATGTAAAAAGCGTTTCGGTGAGGGCAATGTAACACTTTTATTTACAACAGATGAGTGTCAGATCTAGATTTTTTCTCGTCCGTCGGTTAAGCCTGCTCGTCTCCGTCTCCTGAATAAACATATCTGATGTCTGCTGGGCCCACCCAGACACAGCCATTAAAACTCTTATGAGAAAATCAGTTGCAATATCGTTAAGAAAACTCCATTTTCTACCTGCAACTTTGTATTTTTTTCGAGATGGAGAGAAAGGACTCTGGGGAAGGAAGGGAATTTTAAAGAGAAAACTTTCACGATAAATCCTGGTCGATATACATATATTTAAAGACATTTACGCATCTGTACTCTTAAACAATAAATTGAACTTGAACATGATACATGCATAGCGCATGTTAAACAAATTTAATTAGCATTATATATTTAATTCATTTTACATTACACACGTTCCGCTACTAATTGCACATATTCCGTTAGTAATTTGAGGAACACGTTTCCCATTTCCATTTTAAGAATCGTGCTCCGTCGTAATTTCTACGTCAGACAATATCCTCTCGATCAAGATAAAAAGCATGATGATTTGGTGTTTTATATTATATGATATAGTTGTGCACATCATCTTTATTTTTCTTCATTTCGAGATATGAAACTTTGAAGTTTAAAAACGTCAAAAGATTAATAAGAAGCTAATAAAACTATTAGGCTAATTTGATTCAAAAATTTTACTTTTCTTTTCAAGACTGAAGTTTAATACCTCAGATAACAGAAGAAAATATACAGATGACTTAATATTTCATGTTTTATACATTTATTTACAGACTAATTTACACGATCGTTTTTATAACGCCATTGAATTATAATAAATACGCGTGCGATGATCTCAGACAGCTATAAGATAATTGATAAATCCGGTTATTTATGTGTGTTAATGTAATTCTGAAGAAGAGACTTTTTATGCACATGTGAAGTGTGTGAAGATCAAAATGCAATTGAAAGACTTAGAAATAACGTGTTAAATTGCAGTATATTTTACAAATAAGCTATTATTAAAAGTATTATAAGTTATTAATAACATTTAGTATAGGTATAGTCAAATTTCAAACATTTTTTGATTCTATATTCTAAAAAAATACAAATATGCTTTTTGATCGAAGTCGTATAATAAATAAAAACATTCTAAAAATTTTATACATATATGATTTTCATATAATTGAGCAAATTGCCTAAGTCCTTCAATTGATTTCTCAGACAAAATCATAAACTTTCTAAAAAAGTGTTTTCAACACTCCTCACAATATTTCTATCTAAAAAGTATCATTCTGTAAATGATAATATTTTGCATCATTCTCTGAAGTACCATCATCTTCGTTTAGACATGGAATAATTATTGGTACTTCGAGAGATGTCTGTCATTCACTTCTCGTCTTTGATCTTCGAAATTTGATTTGGATCGAAATCGCGTGTGATCGGGCTTTGTACCTGAACATGGGTGGCATGTAGGGGTGGGCAGAGTAGCGGGTGATACGGTAGACAATAATACGGGAAACCGCCGAGTGCTTTGTTCGCGGGATGAATCTGCGGGCTCGACATTTGCCCGGGAAGTTGTCCGGAACCACGAAGAGGTAATCCCCTCAGATGCTCATCCGGATGTACCAGGACGCGTACAGCCACACGCCTGGCGCTTCCCGAGTTTACGAGGGCGCCCAATTCCTGCTGTTGGCGCCGCTTGGTCTTATACCTGAAGTCATTAACGACAGTCAATGAAATCGTAATTGGAAAGGAAAGAAATATTTTTTTAAGAAAGTCGAGAAAATTTATTTTTCCAGATTCATATTTTTCAAAACTTTCATATTAAATCAAGGAATATATCGAAATGTGTAAAACAAAGATTTTTCACCGTCGATTCTGAAACCAGATCTTGACTTGTGTCTCCGTTAATTTTAAGCCACGCGCTAAATCTGCCCTTTCCGGACCCGACAGGTATTTTTGAGCGGCGAATCTCCTTTCTAGTTCATAGACTTGTGCGTGCGAGAACGCTGCCCTGCTGCGCTTTTTTCTGTTCTGCAAACTTTGGCCTGAATTTTGCGACTCGTACGTATCGTCCTCCGCCTCATCTGTAAGACAGGCGAATGAACTTCATTTCATAAATAAAATTGCGATCTATTGTTTGCTGTGTGGGTAAACTTTAAATTAATAGAGGCTTAAAAATAAAGTTTTTATCATAACTTTAATATAATTTCAATTTTATCATTTATATTACGTTTATCAGAACTTAACGCATTCTAACGTATGTCTATAAATTGTTAGTATTGTAAATAATTTATTAGAAGAACAGAGCTTTTAAGCTTTTGCATATCGACGAACGGTGAAGTCTCATTTTTCAAATAACGCAAGCTTGCCGTTCAAATTCGTTTGCGGATAAATATTTGGATTTGCGCGAGAATCTGCAACTATACCGTAAAGCAATCGTTTAGCCCGAAAGTCGGAGTAACCATCAGCGAGCAGCCATAGAGACGGTGAACGATCGGAGAGAGAAAGAGCGAGAGAGAACCTCGTTGCTTTTGATGTCTCGTACAAACATTAACACATGTACTCGCTACTCCGACATGTTTACGCTTCTGTTCCGCGGTAATTCTCCTCTAAGTTTAACCGGTGGCACTAGAGTACAATCGTATTGCAGATCAGACTAGCTTCTTCTACTTGGCAACGCGCTTGATCCGCTACTTTGCGATGCATACCCCTTATTATGAACAAAAAATAACGTATAACTTTTTAACAAGATGATAAAAATTAATTGTATTACTGACAATGAATATAATAATAGTCCGCTTTAATTTTTAAGTATATTTTAAAGTATACTTGTAGATTCTTTTTATTCGTATTAAAATGAGGAAATTTTTACGCATTTGAAACAGAAAATAATAAATCTTGAATAAACTTTATCTTTTCGAAAATTTATCTCGATGTTAAGCTAAAATTTTTGTTTCGAGCATTTTTCTTCGCGAAGACGATTCGATTAATTCGATTTTAAACGATTTCTCAAAAATATGATAAAGTAATTCATCAAGTTCATTGACCTCATCTAATCAATAATCAATTAATATTTCGATATGTAAAAAAATGTTATTTTTAGTGTAGAAATGATGACTCTCCTAGAGTTGTAATAATTTATCGTAATAATTTTATCAATGAAATATCGTGTTCGAAGAAGAAATAAATGCTTCTATACATTTTAATTTAATACAGAAAAAAATTTGATAAATTTTTCTAAAATCTGAGAGTATTCGCGAAGTTCTCCAACAGTATCATAATTATTTCGCGCTCGAAACGCTCATCCTACGTCAATGTTTATCGTCGGTGGTCAGCAGGAGACGCGGAGCATTTAGAGAGATCTATATTTGATCACTTTCGACGTCGACTAGATGCCATCTCGTCCGGCTAATGCGTCCATCCTTCGGTGCTCGTCAAACATCCTATGGATGTTTATATCGAGTCTATATCGAGAGTTCAGTTCCAGGCGAGCAAGTGGCGTCGATTTACTCCGATTACATCGATGATCCTTCGAAACCACTAAAAACACTTTTCGACTCCTCCGTCGCGATGGAAAAGGACGCGAAAATCGGGAAGGATTTTCTCAGTTATTACCGTAATAAGTGGTTAAGAACAATTTGTCGCGACAACGACAATATTTTTTCGACTATCCATTATCATATTAAATGACTGGAGAGATTTCCCCTTGAAAGTGGACTCGTAATTTTCTGAGTGCACCTTGAATCGGTGCCAGCTCGTATCTACCTCTTCACCCTCGAGCCGTTGCAAACAATATACTATCGTACGGTTTCAGGTGACGATTCTTCGCTTAAGAGTAGGCGCTCTCTCTTTCTCTCTTTCGTAATGTTTATTTTATATTTATTGCTATCGTTACACAACTTATCTTGATAATTAAATAAAATTTTACATGACATATTGTAGAAAAGCTTTTCTTTGTTACACCTCAGTCATGTTTATATATTTTAATGCTTTTCATAAACTCGATGCCTATTGTTTTGTACAACTGATTGCGCGTAGGCATGTTATCATGTGATTGAACCACGTAATGTTTGGCAAGGGGAGAGATCGGCTCTCGAAGACCTGATAGCGGTTAAAGTTCAGCGAAAGAAAGAGGTCGAACGCGCGAGCCATTAAAAATATCTTTTAGACTCGCAGAGATATTTCGCGTATTTGTATTCTCGAATAAATTAAAGATACAAAAGAGATGTTTCTTAAAAACCAGATACGTTTTTCCTACAGTATTTTCTATAAATTATCCTTCTATTAACGCATCCTGAAACTACTGTAAATTGAGACTTATCGAAGGCTTTTCTAAATCATTTCGTATCGTTTTCTTCTTTGCAATATGTGCAATTGTAGGAGCAAAGTTATAAAATATTTTTAATTTTATCACATTTTAATACATATAATAATTTGCTAAATCCAGGGTGAAGACATTAATTGCTGGTTATGGTGAATAACGATTAGAATTTTATATCCTAAATGCTGAAAAATGTTTTTATCTTTTAACAATTACAAAGGAATACACAATAAAAATTCTGCGTACACGCATTCTATCATGAATGCTGTTAATCATGATTGATTTCACAAAGCAGTCAGTCCGAGGGAGAGTATCTGTTTACCTTCATACTAAGATAACACTATTCAACCACGTAATTCTATACTTTCGTATCAATAACGAGGGCGAATATTACGAAAAAATGGACAGAAGGGGATGCAAAGCTAAACTATCTTTATCTTGCGTGTAGTACATAACGTGTGCATATGGTACAAAGTAATTTAATTGATTAAATATAAAATATTACTATTTTATGGTGCAATATAATGGTGCATTATATTTGCGTGCAATACGTAGCACAGCGCGTATATAGTGCTAGCGGATGCAAACGATTAACTAAGAATTATTGCTATCCTATATGGAACACATAGCGCTACATCTGTCACGAATAAATCAATCACGAACGTTTACTCGGAAATAGTTAGCGATCGTAACCTTGATCTAAAACGGTTTAGTCTAAACGGAGGTAATCCGCGAATCCTTGCGTGCTTGAGGCACAGAGGAACAGAGTGTGGCCAGAGATCGAACAAGTGCAAGAAGTAGTCGGTACTCGTGACGTCTGCCGAGTCGAGTGCCACTTATGCTACTAAAATTACATTCAATTATGTTATCTGCGCTCGGGTTAACTTTAAAAACCCTTGAAAAGAGCTCGCCTGTTACGCGCGTATCTGCTCAAATGACCTCTTAAGCCCGCATCCTCGTGCCCGATACAAGATCCTCTGGCAGGTCACCATCTTCCAGGACTTTTAAGATATTGTTTTCGCTCGTGATATATTATGTATCGGTTTAACTACTTTTCCAAAAAAATTGATTCTGTTTTCCTTGAGACTTGACGCGATTAACAGTAGATCGATTTGATACTTAATATAGTCTGCTAACAACAATCTCAGTTTTTGGAAGAAAATTCGATTCTGTGATTGCATGCATGTGAAATTATCTATCAACTGCCGTTAGATTAAATTATTTTACTTAATTCAGTATTGCAGAATTAATGCTGGAGAATTGAAATACATAATATTATTTTGACATTTTATCCCAGAATGAAAAGAAACTCGCGACGCGCTTTTTGTTGCAGAATTATGCATGATAATTTATATAGTCATGCGAGTAGCATCACGTACCTAGATATTTATTTTTACTCATATCTAAGGCTTCGTCTTGCTGTCTATGAGAAGTCTCCATCGGCTCCTTAACAGGCTGATATGCCGTCAGGTTTCCCAGAGTCTCGAAGTGATTCTTGAATGTTCCCTGGGTCAAGTGCGGGATGCCTCCGAAATTTGATAAGTTCGCTTGCGCCAGGTTTCTCCTCAAGATATCCAACTCGTGTGCCATGCTCAACTCCGGGGTGGGCAGTCTCGGATAATGAATCACCTGATCATGATCGTAGCTTCCGTCAAGCTGCTCGTTCTCCACGCGCTCGTACTCGCGATTGTGTCTTCTCATCGACGTGGAAACGGCGGCCTGGATTTTTTCCACGTCGCATCTCTTCGGATCCGCGCAAGAGTTTCTCCGGCTCAGGATATCAGCGATACTGAAAGGGGTCGGTTGAGAGGGTTTCGGCGAGGCTTCGCTGCGTTTGTCGTCCTCCATCACTCCGTGCTTTGCTACTGTTCTCTTCCTCGCAACAATGACAGCTGCTTCGAAACAGTTCTTTCTATGCACTTGATGTCTTCCTTTCAGATCTTCTCTTCTTCTTCTTCGATCTTCTTCCTCATAGTTACAATCACCATTGATTGTCCACACACGAGAAAGGTCGTCGCGTCACATGTTATAGATTCTCACCGTGCAATTTCACTACCTTGTCTTTTCTTCACAAAAAACTTGGACTTTTTTTCACCCTTATAAACTTGTCCAAAAAAAATCTAACGATCATACGTCAAATTTTCTCAGTCACGCATGCTGCCATTCTCGCTTGTCCGTCGTCGACACGTTAGAACGGAGGATCGGCCGACGAATGTTAGGCGTCTTCCGCGTTCACATAATCCCTGGAGGCCGTCGAGCAGCCAGAGGATCGCTGGTAGGCCGACTGGCGTTATTAATTGTTATTCCCGAGTGCTCGACCCTTCTGATTCGAGTGTGCTTCGGTCAAGTGTGCTTGTCGCCCGCGGAGACTTATTTTTCGAATTACCACACTCAGAGCCCGCAGCTCTCCCTTCCTCCCTCGAGAAGAGCCTCCCTCTTTTACTCGACCAACCCCCACCTAAAAGACGCTTCGCCCTCTTCTCGCCCTTCTCTCCTCCCGCTTCTCTTTCTGTTTCACGAAGACCTCTACTTCCACGTTGATGATCTCACTCGAGGCGCTTTTGTCTCCGTTCATCGAGAAATAAAGCTCAACGCTTATCAGATTCCGACGACGCCTCTCATCAGCTATCGATCACTGTCTCACTGCAGGTCATAGAAATGATCTTTTTCTTTTCTCCTTAACGAGCTCAATGACTGTCTTCGTCGCCCACTCTCTCGTTCCCGGCTCTCCTAAGCGAGCTTGCATGCGCGAATACCGCGCGTTCTGAGGTAGGTGGAGCTTTGGATATTCTACGTGCGATCGGACGCGACGCTTCCGTCACGACGCAAGCCTCGCCCTACGGCCAATCCACGGCTTTTCCCGCGACGTCGCTTTTCCACGGTGGCCAATCCAGACGGAGACACAAGTCGGGAAAGATTCTGTCGCGGAGTGGGATCGCGGGGGATTTTTAGATCATCGCGATCGACCCCGCCGGAAACGTACGGGCACTTTAGAGATTTTCTCGTTTTGTCATCCGTGTCAGCGAAGATGATAAAAGGCTGCTTAACTTCTTGCGACGAAGCAATCACTCACAGTCGTCATACACGACGACAGTTTCATTATTGATGTATGCTTCGTGATTACTTAGACCAGGCCTGTCTAACTGCTCGAAGCGAAGGAGCCACTGCTCCCACTCTTACCACTTTAGACTTCCCCCACCATCCAGTAGTATCGGGGCAGCGGTTTCTCGCAGCATGAGTAGAAGTAGAATAGCTATATTCGATGGCTTTATGCGTAACTAAGAATACGCATACAGAGCACAAGTGCGTGTCATATTCTTATTTACGCATAAAGCAATATAACTGAGTATGGTATTGATGGTGATATCTCGGTATATATATGCGACTTTTTCAGAATATAATATATAATATAAATTAAATAAAAGTAGGCTTTCCTGAATAAATCAATAAGTAAAGGAAATAAGGAGGCAATAGGAACCAAACGCGGTAATTAATGCGCAATCAAATTATCGTAACAATAAATATATTATAATAAAAACGGACGTTTCGACACTTTTTTGTGTCATCTTCAGCGTAAAGAAAATACATGATGGTCCCGAAGATAATACATAAAATTCGACGAAGTTGATCTACATAATTCAATCAGGCGCAGTCTAAATTCACGACAATAATACATAAAAATGAATCAAATCGGAGCAGGTAACGCGTGAACCAAAAGTGTAAATAGAAAATAAAAACTATGAGCCAAATAGGTGCAGTCAACGAGTAAAACAAAAAGTGTAAATTAAAAATAAATTCCACAATAAACTCTGTAAAGCTATATCCACACAAACTTGCATAGGTGCATAACCATGCGCATAACGAAACGGATTGGTCTATTTCCTTATGCACATGCGTATGGACCAATCAATTCTTTTATGCTTATGTTTATGCGCTATGCAAGTTTGTCTGGATTGACCTTTAGTCAAGCGCAGTCAACGAATAAAACAAAAAGTGTATGAGTTTACATTCCTTTGTTCTATCGCCCCGTTACACAAGTTTTAACGATGACTATAGTAATTTATAACTTTTGACGCATAATGATCCATGTAAGTTGAATATGTAATTTGCATTATTGTTTCCATTTTATATTTGTTACCGGCAATTTATTTTGTTCCAGCATTAAATGTAATTTGATAAGGAAACCCAAATTAGAGATCAAAACGTCGTTTAACATTAATCAATTATTGCCAGTCAGGCCGATCAATAAATAACTTATTGAAATATTATTCAGTTTTAATAATATGGTTTAAGCCTTTAAGTTGTACTGTGCATACACGTCGTAACGTGAGAACAGTAAGCTCATAAGCAAGCTAAGATGCTAGATGCTATATCCGCTAGAACTAGGAATACGTGTCAAATATGGAAAGAGTCAGGAAACCAACTGGAAGAGTGGGGGGAGTCGAGCTCGAGCTCCGTGGCGGGGGAAAGAGCCACGAGTGGCCCGCGGGCCGCAGGTTAGACAGGCCTGACTTAGACTAGCATTTGATCAAAGTGTGCGTTAGCACATTAGGAAAGTAGTTAACAGATTCAATCAAATCAATCTATTGAATCTGATATCCCGTTTATAGAGTATGATAATCATTTTATAGTTTCTCAATCAATAGTGTGACATTTATATTTTGATATTTATTTTTTCTATAAACATTTTTTTTTCGTTTTTTACATCAACCGTTCTTGTTTAATTATTATGTTTATGATATAATTATTTTTATAAAAAATCATTATTTATCAAAGGTAACACCTGAAGCTAAAATCCACTTTAGACGATCTATGTTATTTATATCACATAAATCAGAAAAAAATTTGCAATTTTATATAAAATGTTTGAAGAATCAGAAAAATATATATAAGATATAAAGTACACATACATACATCAAAATATATGACTTATAAAATTATAAATAAAATTCTATCCTAAAATCTGACGCAAATTACAAGCGAGTGAGCTTAGCACTCATTTACAAATTAGTAAAATGTAACATTTCAGTAACAAAGTACGATAGAAATTACGTTTCACATAGTCATGTCTCTATTCGACGAAAAATGATCCAAGTTAGAAATCGCAGTTGATAATTTCAAAAAGTTACCCCGTTCTCTTTGTACGTAGGTTCACGAGCGGAATGGTAGGTAGGTGCCTACGTACTTCTCGTCTCGATACGTTGCGAGAGAAACTGCGCGGTGCATATATAGGGTGTGCTTTACATAACAATCGCCGCTAAAGACTCGCAGCATTGTCTGCCACGTGCTGGCACCCGAGTTCCTATGGCGGTTTAATTAAGTGTGAACCACAGGAACGTGAACTACGCCTGAGTTGATCCGATGATGACCTCGCGCGCTCGAGATATCGATGAGAAAATACTTTCGCTCTCTCCACCGTCTCTCCCCCTACCTCATGGTGTGGCGTGGTGCATCATTCGCACTCTTGTCGGAAAGACGCGTGTACATCAATTGCAAATTCTATTGTCACAAGATGCATAATTAGAATCTTAATTATTTTTGTAAAAACATGTTATAACAAATTATAATATGTGTTTACAAAAAGTCACTTATACTGATAAATGTTTATTTCAATTACACAAATTGGAAAATTCTTTATCAAAAAGATGATTTGGTTTTTTCTCATCGAGTGACATTTTTATTAAGTTATCAATTAACAGAAAAAAGAAATGTAAATAACTCTAGACATGCTTCAACGCTATAATGTGATGATCAAAATGATTGTAAGAATATCTTTTCTCTACTTTTTCCAAACGATTAGACAAATATTTAAAAAAGTGACTGTTATCTTAAGATATATATTTTTAATTACCTGAGGTATATATATTATGTGTTATTCTTTACATATACAATATTTTTATATAAAATTATTTGGCATTATTTTCCTGTTTAATTATGGTATGAAATAAGAAAAATCTATTGTATAAACAATAGACAATTAAATTGTGAATGACATACGAATTTCCGCGAATTTTGATAATTACCTACAATCAACAAACTTTTTTTAAATAAAGAACAAATCGTGTATCAAGTACCATTATGCTTTAAGTATCCGGACCGGAAATTGGAAAAACGCCATCCGCCATTTGCTTGTTACAACTCCGTTATATATAGACGATCTCAGGCCAATCTTAAGTCTACATACCGAGACCTCTTTTTCTCGATCCGATCTAATCAATAATAAATTATAGGGGGATGGTGGTACATCTCTCCCCTAAAGCTAAGGCTCTGACCCTCCCGCTCAATTGGTCGCAATTCTTAAAGACCTTAATTGGCGCGGAAAATTATACCTTATTTCAGTTACCCCCGAACAAGTCCGGCGTCCGCCCTTCGCCGTCATCCTTTACTCAACCTTGCTGTACTTTGTTGCCTCTCGTCTTCTCCTCCTTCGCTCGATTTCTGCCACTCGGATATTTCTTTTTCCGCCATGAGCAATCGTTCGAAATATCGAGATCGCGCGATGACGAGCATCTATATAGAGCGGGTGGAATTTTTATTGCAATGAGAGACACGTCGTGAGATAGGTCGACCAATTACGGGATGAAGTGTCGATCATTTACGAAATGAAGTCTGTGTCAGCGAACATCTCGGCAGCATCCGTCTGTCAACTCTGGCAGTCGTCATGCATGCGACAAGTCGGGCCGGTTGCGCAAAAAGTCACCGGCCTCGACGTTCGTCTCAAACGGAGCTTCGCGGTTACCCTTTTAACAAGCTCGTCGTCGCCTGTCGCGTGAAGAGAGCGACTGGAGATGTCCCATAAAATCAAATAGTTCCGTACGAGGGCTCCTTCCGAGCCCGATTTAACCGGCAGTCAATAAAGACTGCGAACCAACAGCGGGGCTCGTTCAACGACCGTATCGGAACGAAAACGAAACGTTAACGTAAACTGAAAAACAATCGTCGGCCACGGCGGCTGTCACTCCAACGAGGAGTTGGCATCCGCGTGGCAGAGTCATCTGTTCCCTACGCGGTCGCGAACGTTTATTTTTCCAGAATGGTCGCTAAAACACCCTCGTTCCGTTCGGTCCTCCAAGTAATTTTAACTATTTATAGCGGTCCACCTAGACGAGTTATTGGGACATCTTTTTACAGGAAAGGTGCTAAAGTAAATTGATAAGTAGCGCTTATTAACGCTTATTATGTAACTTGAATTTATCCGGCTCCGAAGTCTGCCTATTTAATTTAAACATTTTCAAGCTAAATGATAACTGACTGAAACAATGTCTTGTCACATAAACTTTTTTACAGTTGAGGAGAATATGTAATTATTCTTCCAAATTGCATGTTACTTTTTTCATAATAAAACAGAATATAATTCTCATCCAACGTATTTAATTGTTATAATTTATATCATTTTATAGAAAATGTAAACTTAAGAAACATTTACAATTTACAATCTTATTATATAACATCATAAAAACATTAGAAAATATATACAATAAATATAGATAAATCTTCAATTTTATAATTAAAAATTTTTTTATTTAAAATTTATAATTGGCACAGTACTATATAGAATCATGGGTAATAAATATAAATGTTTATATGTATATATATTTATATTATGCATAATATACATATATAATATATATGTATAAATTTCATTTGTATGACGAAAATAATGACATGCAAAGTTTGAGTAGCCAAGAAAAATCGACGAGAAGGAGC